AGTGCCCCCAGTCTGCCAGTGTCTCACTGTCCCCATGTATCCTAGTGCATCCATGTCTCTCAGTGCCTCAAGTGTCACAATGTCCCCAAGCTAGTGTCCCTAGTGTCTGTGGCCCTGGTGTCTCAGTGTCCCCATGTTTCCCAGTGCTGCCATGTCTCAATGTCCCCATGTCCCTAGTCTCCCAGTGTCACTGGTGTCTCTGTGTCCCTAGGTCTCCCCATCTTCCTAGTGTCCTAGTGACATGGGGACCCTGGGATACATGGGGACAGAGGGAGACATGGGGCATTGAGACACTGATACATAGGATCACTGGGAGACCTGGGGACACAACACTAGGGGACACTGGGATACATGGGGCACAGAGACACTGATACATAGGAACACTGAGACCTGGAGTACAGCATTTTCTCTTATGTCACTCCTTGTGATTTACATCATGTGATGTCACCCACACATATTTAATTATGCAAATTAGTAAGGACGGTATGTTTTTCCAAGAAAGGTGGCAACCCTAACTACTTTTCACATACTCTTACTTAAGTATGGAAACTTAAGAGGGATGTATGGGAACAAAACTTGTGTGGACTGGCTGACAATGAATATAGTTAAAAGGGACACTATAGTCACCAAAACAACTACAGCTTATTGAATTTGTTCTGGTGAGTAGAACCATTACCACCAGGCTTTTTGCTGTAAGCATGGTCTTTTCAGAGAAAATGCTGTGTTTACATTACATCCTAGTGATAACTTCACCGGCCACTCCTTAGATGACTGTTAGAGATCCTTCCTGGGTCATGGCTGCCTAAAATGCATCCAAACATTCAGTGTCTCCTCCCTCTGCATGCAGACACTGAACTTTCATCATAGAGATTCATTAATTAAATTCATCTATATAAGGAGATGCTGATTGGCCAGGGCTGTGTTTGAATCATGCTGGCTCTGCCCCTGATCTGCCTCTTTGTCAGTCTCAGCCAATCCTATGGGGAAGCACTGTGATTGGATCAGGCCATCACTTCTAATGATGTCAGCAGACTGCTTGTTTTTATGAGTTTAACAGCATGCAGAGTTACAGCTTCAGGCTTGAATATAGTAGGATTTTGCTATATTTATGGAGGCATGAGGGGCCCAGGGGGGCTAGATGGTGGTGTTGCTGACCCTATAGTGATCCTTTAAGGTAATGCTGACTTTGGTCTCTCTAACACTGTGGCATGTTCCCTTTCTTCTACACTCACTACATACAGCTTTTCTCTGTCCCAGATCATATATCAGGAGCTTCTGCCTGCTGGTAAGAAGGTAAGGAGACAAGTGGACGAGCGAGTGCTAGGGGACGGTCCTTAGAAAGCGTTGAGTGAGCGCATCATTAGATGCATTTATGCCAAGCTCAGGGTGCTGTCTGCATAGTATGCCCTTAGTTGGCCAGCTGCATGATTGGCAGGCAGCCTGGTATGCATTCACGCCAGGCTGACCTTCCAATTCTTTGGACAAACATGCCCCCTTTTTGGGTATGTTCACCCCTTTTGGCAGGTTATGTGATTTGTGTCAGTGGCACACCCTTTTACCATGCCCATTGACTTCCTGCTTGACTGGACACTGCTGTTAGGGGTTATGGATTTACTTGAAAGATGAAAACATAAATTAGAGAGAGATTAGCCTAGGGTATGTGTTTTCTTATAGCTGCTGTTTCCTTTCTCTCCAGCACCATCTCCATGAGATACATGATGCTTGGGAGGTATGACTGTTTTTGGTCGATATGATTCTGTAATTAGGTCCGTCATAATTGTCAGCACCAGGCCCACTGGGCTCTTAATCTGGCCCTGCCCCAAATCCTCCTTTATGCACCAATACTTCAGCCACACATTGACCTCTCTTATCTCCCACTGCAGAGCATGGCACAGGTAATATCTCAGAAAAACATAGTTTAGGATAGAGTGTCAGATAAATAGAACAAGATAGGGACAGAGTGGCATAGCAAAGAATATATCCAAACAATGAGTGGCATTCAGCATATGGGTTACCATGGCAACCAACTAATGCATGTATCAACACGGACAGAAAACAGAATAAAATGGAAAAGAACTAGTACCCACTATGTGTAGAAAATAGTAAACACACTTATAAGTGGCCACAAAGATGGATTATCTAAACCAAGTTTCCATGGTGACCTATGGGTAATGAATGAAGAACGTAAAGTGGTGTCCCTCAGGGGTCTGTTCTGGGACCCCTTCTATTTAACATGTTTATAAATGATCTTGAAGACCGCATTGAAAGTCATGTTTCAGTGTTTGCAGATGACACAAAACTTTGTAAAACAATACAATGTGAGCAAGATATTACTTTGCTGCAGAGGGATTTAGATAGACTGGGAGACTGGGCACTCAAATGGCAGATGAAATTTAATGTTGAAAAATGCAAAGTTATGCACTTCGGCGTAAAGAATACACAAGCAACGTATACCCTTAATGGAAGCGAATTAGGGATAACAACACATGAAAAGGACTTGGGAATTGTTATAGACAACAAACTATGCAACAATGTGCAATGTCAATCAGCAGTGGCCAAGGCCAGTAAGGTATTGTCATGTATGAAAAAGGGCATTCATTCTCGGGACAAGAATATAATTTTGCCTCTTTATAAATCACTGGTAAGACCCTATATTGAATATGCTGTGCAATTTTGGGCACCTGTTCTAAAGAAGGATATTATGGCACTAGAAAAAGTGCAGAGGCGGGCTACAAAATTAATAAAAGGAATGGAACATATCGGCTATGAAGAAAGGTTAACAAATTTAAACCTATTTAGTTTAGAAAAACGTCGCCTGAGAGGGGATATGATAACATTATACAAATATATTCGGGGCCAATACAAACCATTGTGTGGAAATCTATTCACAAACCGGACTTTACATAGGACACGAGGCCATGCGTTTAGACTGGAAGAAAGAAGATTTCGTCTAAGGCAAAGGAAAGGTTTTTTTACTGTAAGAACAATCAGGATGTGGAATTCTCTGCCTGAAGAAGTGGTTTTATCAGAGTCCATACAGATGTTCAAACGGCTACTAGATGCATACTTGCAAGAACAGAATATTCAAGGATATAATCTTTCAATGTAGGGTAATAACTGCTTGATCCAAGGATAAATCTGACTGCCATTCTGGGGTCAAGAAGGAATTTTTTTCCTAGCTTGTTGCAAAATTGTGCTTCAAACTGGGTTTTTTGCCTTCTTTTGGATCAACAGCAAAAAACAAATGTGAGGAAGGCTGAACTTGATGGACGCAAGTCTCTTTTCAGCTATGTAACTATGTAACTATGTAACTATGTAAAATCGGTGGGTATAGTGCACCAATCTAAAGCAACCATGGTAACCAAAAATATAAAAGTGCAATAAAAACCATTAAATAAGAAAAAATGCTTGATATTGAGGATGCCATGCCAACCACACACACTATATGTCAACAGGTAAGACAATGGGGGAATATGACATGTACATTTTATACATAACACCAAACAATGAAACCACTCTGTAACTATAGGCAAAAAGGACAAATCTGTAGAATAAAAATTAGCAAAGTAGCAAGGTTACTTGGACAGCCAACTTGGTAGTCAGCAATAAGTAACATAGTGAAACGTAAGGGCAAAAAAGTATCAACAAGAAACCTGACACTAATAATAGTAGTGTGTAGATACATATATCCGTAAGAGTATGATATGAAAGCACATGTGAACATAGGGAAGAGATAGCCATAGAAGGACAAGCGGATATGATCTAGACAGACAAGACACATACAGTTTAAATGTCAGTGCAGAGAACAGTACATCTATAGATAGTGATATAAAAAAACAAAAAACCCACAAGCATTAAAAAGTAGCAGAAGAAAGCAGGACAAAAAGAAAATAAAGACATTAAAAATAAATAGCTATAAGGTCATATAATAGTATATGCAGTTTATGGACAGAACTAACTTCAGAGATACATGTTCCATTCATGAGTACAAACAGGTAAAATATCGCACAAGCAATAAAAGTTCAAGCGGTGTTAATCAGATGGAAAACATCGGTAGGGTCATAGTCAATTAATTCGAAAATATTATTAAGATCAAATTCCGTATTTAATCCCTTGGATTGAAGAGTGTCTATGGTATGAATCTAATTGTTTGGCTAATTTTCTGAGTACCTATGGCAGTGATGGCGAACCTTTTTGAGCCTGAGTGCCCAAACCGCAATACATGCCAACTTTTTTTTTCCTCAAAGTGCCAACACGGCAATGAAACCTGAATACAGAGGTGTAAGTTTAGAAAAAACAACTTGTACAGTTGTCCGAACTAATTAACAACTTTTGTTTTAAAAGAACACAACAGAGAGTTCAATGATACAAATTTTAAATAATGATATAAATAGATAAAATTAAGCTTATATTTATTAGAATCTCCAACAAATGCAATACATACACACAGACTGCTAAACACGTTCACACACTGGCTGCTAAATAAATACACACACACCAGCTACTAAATACACACACACAGTCCGCTAAATACACACACACACAGTCCGCTAAATACACACACACACAGTCTGCTGAATACACATACAGACTGCTGAATACACATACAGACAGACTGCTGAGTACACACAGACTGCTGAGTACATACACACAGTCTGCTGAATACACACACACAGCCTGCTGAATACATACACTGCTGAATACACACACACACACAGACTGCAAAGTACATACACACAGACTGCTGAGTACATACACACAGACTGCTGAATACATACACACACAGACTGCTGAATAGATACACTGCTGTATACATACACAGACAGACTGCTAAATACACACATACAGACTGCTGAATACATACACTGCTGAATACACACACACAGACTGCCGAATACATACACACACGTAGACTGCTGAATACATACACTGCTAAATACACACACAGACAGACTGCTGAATACACACACAGACTGCTGAATACACACACACAGACTGCTGAATACATACACTGCTGAATACACCCACACAGACTGCTGAATACACCCACAAAGACTGCTGAGTACATACACACAGTCTGCTGAATATACACACTGCTGAGTACACACACACAGTCTGCTGAATACACACACACACACAGACTGCTGAATACACACACATACAGACTGCTGAATACACACACACATACTGCATTGAGGGGTGCAGTGTATGTGTTTGTGTGTAAGGGTGTGGAATGCTGTGTGTGTGTCTGAGGGGTGTTGTGTGTGAGGGGTGCTGTGTGTGTGTGTGTGCGGGGTAGGGGTGTGTGTGTGTGGGGGAAGGGGTGCTGTGTAGGAGGTAGGGTTGGTGTGTGAGGGTAGGGGTGCTCTGAGGGTAAGGGTGCTGTGTGGGTAGGGGTGCTGTGAGGGTAGGGGTGCTGTGGGCGGTAGGGATGCTGTGCAGGGTAGGGATGCTGTGTGGGAGGTGTGGGGAGGAGTGCTGTGGGGGTAGGGTGCTGTGCTGTAAGGGAAGGGTGCTGTGTGTGGGGGAGTATGGGTGCTGTGCTGTGTGTCAGGTTGGGGTGCTGTGCTGTATGTAGGGGTGCTGTGCTGTGTGGGAGTTGGGGGGCTGTGCTATGTGGAGGTAGGGGTGCTGTGCTGTGTGGGGATAGGGGTGCTGTGCTGTGTGTGGCAGGTAGGGGTGCTGTGCTCTGTGTGGCGGAGGTGCTCTCCTGTATGGGGGTTGGGGGTGCTGTGTGGGGGTGGGGGTGCTGTGCTGTGTGGGGGGTAGGGTGCTTTGTGCTGTGTGTGTGGCGGGTTGGTGCTGTGCTGTGTGTGGCCGGGTAGGGTGCTGTGCTGTGTGGGGGTGCTGTGCTGTGTGGCTGGTAGGAGGTGCTGTGCTGTGTGGGGGTGGGGTGCTTTCTGCGGCTGTGTGGTGAGATTAGGGTGCTGTGGGTGTGGGAGGTGCTGTGCTGTATTTGGGGGTGGGGGTGCTGTGCTGTGTGTGGGGGTGCTGTGTGGGGGTGCTGTGCTGTGTGTGGGGGTGGGGGTGCTGTGTAGTGCGGGTGCTGTATGCTGTATGTGGTGGTAGGGTGTTGTGTGGGGGAGGGTGCTGGCAGCAGCATGTGGGGGTGCTGTGGGTGGTAGGGGTGCTATGCTGTGTGGGGGGTAGCGGTGCTGTGGGTGGTTGGGGTGCAGTGGGTGGTAGGGGTGCTGTGTGAGGGGTAGGAGTGCTGTGCTGTGGGGATAGGGGTTCTGTGTGTCGGGGGTAGGGATGCTGTGCTGTGGCGGGTAGGGGTAAAAATACATAAAAAAAAAAAAAAAAGATATATTAATGTATCCTCCCCCTCCATTCCTCTTACCTTTGGTGAAGGAGGGGAGGCGGGGGGACACAGCCGTCCCCGGTGGTCCAGTGGTGGTAAGTATGTTTCTGGCAGCTAGGAAGCAGCTCTCCATGGTAACGCACGGCAACGCTCCACACAGCATCGCGCGGGAAAGGAGAGCTGCTTTCTAAAGCCCTCCCTCTGTCCTCCCAACACGGAAGCAGAGTAGGCGCCTGCCGTTTTGGGCAGGCAGGTGCCTACTCTGCAGACAGCCAGCGGCCCACTCTCCCGGCGACCTATGGCCGCATGCCAACAGAGAGGGCCCAGCGTGCCACCTGTGGCACGCGTGCCATAGGTTCGCCATCACTGACCTAGGGGATTTTTATCTTATACTCATTGGGAGTAGTAACCAAGAATCTCTGGTACAGTATGTTTATACTATTATTGAAAACGATTACAATCTATCCTTTAATATGGCATGTGACAGTTCTAAAATTAAAAATTTTGGATCTATGTCTGACTCTCTCTACACCAGGTAGTATTTTGACAGAGAATTTTAGAAAAACCCACATCAGGTAATTATTCCTTTGGCAACTAGCTGCCATCCTAAACATACGTTTACAGGAATTTCTGTGAGGGAGTTTATTCGCATTAGATGACGATATATTTGAGGCTCATGCCAGTAGACTTTAAAAAAAAAAAAAAAGTCTCTGGGAAAGCGGCTACAGACAGGATAATATCAATAGGGGCTATAGTCCAGCTAAAAGACACTCAAGAGAATCTCTGCTTCTGGAATTCAATAG